GTGTGTGTGTCTTGTTTTATTTCTGAAAAAAATAATTATTAATGGAAAAAACAGAAGCTTTTTGGTTAACTTATAATTAATTTAACAAGCTTGTTTTGTCATATAGTTCTATTTTTCTTGTATTAGTTCAAGTTTTAATAAGGTTTTTGTATGTGTGCATGGGTTAGGGGGAGGGCTTTTTGTTTTTTTTCCATTAAGTACATCTGCCTGAATGATAGATACTTTCATCCAATGTCTGTTTAGTTGTTGGTAGTTTGTATTTTTATGCTGTCTAAATGACTTTATTTGAAATTTGGGTGATTGCTTTTTAAAACAAAAACAACTTTTGGCTATTTTCCCCTGAAGAGATTATGGTCATTTAAGTTATTATGGGTAATGAAATTCCAAGAAATTTATGATAATCCATATTGTTATGTGAAAGCTAGATTCATTCTTTGTTTTTTCTGATATTAAATATAAGTGTGTAACACTCTTCATAATAATTTCAAAAGTTGTCTCTAAATCTTCACATAGAATGAAGACCAGAATGAAGTGGTTCTTGTCAGAACAGATCAGTCTGGGAGAGTGTGGCCTGTGAATGCACCAGCAAAACCTCTGGAATCTAAAGGAAGAAGAACAAAGAAACAAATGGTATACTTAGAATATATTTTGTTTAATAAATTAGAAGCCTTTTTTCCCTGAGGGCTTTGTTTGCAGCAGAATATTTTCTGAAATGTAGTTTTGTAATCCAAACATTAGAAGGTAATAAATCATTATAACCTGTTATTCTTAGTTAAAACCCTTTTCTTTGCCTTTTACAAAGTGAATTCTAATTCAACACTGTTTTTCAGTTGTGAACATGTAATATTTAAAGCAGTTGGGTAATTTTAGTGTGCACTTCTTGGGCATTGTTTTGGGCTTTTCTAAAAAAGCTTTGAAGGAAGACCTGGTTCTTTCAGACATGTTTTCCGTGTTTACTAGTTTTAAGAACTAGGGATGGAGACCCCATATTATAGTACTGTGTTAATTATGTAGCTACCATGATCCTTCATAAACCTGACCTCCCCCACCCCCATCTTTTTGCTTAGTAGTTAATTTTATCACTATTTTGAAGCGCTTGAAATGTCAAAAATAACGTATTCAGCTTTCCCAAATTAGGTTTCTTAAAAATTTTAAAGATTGCATAAATGGTAACTGCATCCACTAACAATATGTCCACTCAGAAGTTTTCTATCAAATGTTTATCTGTTGAAAATAAGAGATGCCAAAGATAGTGATTACTTCAGTCAGCAAATAGACCTAGGTGGGCATCCATTTCATTTTTTTCTTTTTAAGATTTTTTTTAAGATTTATTTATTTATGCATACAGAAATGGGGTGCAGGCCAGAGGTGCAAGGGCAGCGAGAGGATTTACCAGAGACAGATTGGGGAGCAGATCGATGAAGTACACTGCTGAAGGGAGCAGCAGGCGGGTCAGGAGAGGTCAGCTGAGCCTTGTGGTCACTTCCGGGGCTGAAATCAAACTGGCACTGAAGCAGCTGCACCTTGCTTGCAGTGTTGCACTTTAACCCGTTGAGCCATCAGGAAGGGCCGGATGTCTGTTTCAGTTTAATAAAAGCAATTAGGTATTTGGAGGGGTGAGGAGGCAGAAGAATCAAGGCCTGAATTAGATGAAATGACAGAGCTGACTAGGAGTCCTAATTGCTTAGATGGCACTGAGACCTTTTTTGAGTTGGAAACTACAGAAAACACACATGGTTATTAAGGACTGAGGTTTGTTTTCTGAGTATAATGAAAGGATAAGAGGGCAGAAATCTAACTTTGGAGCAGGGGAGTGATCAAAGTCAAGGAGTAAGTAATTTAAGCTAGTGAAGATAAACATAGTATTGTTGGAAAGAAATGTGAGGAACATGTTTTCAAAGATCTGAGAGAAGTTGAAGAGAGGTTTTATTTAGATAAGGGAATATAATGTGAGAATGATATTGGGAATATTTAATTTGGGAGGAAATAAAGAACACTTTTCTAAGCCTAGGTGTAGAAACAACTAATAAAAAATTCGGGAATGTATAGATGGGAATCAGAAAAATCAGCTTTGTTTCTGATACAGCTTTGAAAGGAGTTTGCTATTACGTCAGTAAGCTTACTTCTGGATAAGTGCAGATTCTCCAGTGGTGGGTGTGTATTTATTTTTATGATGAGGAGAAGCACAAAGAAGAGAGAAGAAGGGTGGAAACTTTTCCTGAAAAATCAGAAATTAGATAATATTTTGCTTCTGTCTCTGGGAAATGGAAAGTGTGATGATAGAAGGAGGGAGTATTATTTTCATGGAGACTTTTCCACATGGAAACAAAGAGAATAGGGATAAACTAGAAGCAAAGATTGAGATATAGCTTGGGGTCTTTACATTTTATATTGAATTTATTGGTAACTCATTAAAGACTTTAGAGACTCATATTTTTACAAAATTAATAATGTTCATTTTGTCATAGGCTTCAACCCATGAGGAAAAAGAAAGGGTCAGATACTTTCATGATGATGATAATCTAAGCCTAAGTGATTTAGTCAAGAATGAAAAGATGGGAACAGCAGAAAATCAAAATAAATATTTTATAAGAATGGCATCAAAGGTAAGACAGCTTTGAATTTTGAAATGTTGGTTTACTCAATCTAGCATTGATCTGTTTTTCAGAGAAAGCTGTTTTTTTCTAATCTTTGTCTATTTTTATGAAATCAAATCCTTTATTATAAACATGCATTTTAGAATAGATTTGACTGTGAAATATACACAGTTTGTTTTTAGATCTTGAAAAGCTTTGGAGAAGTAATCAGGCAGGGACACTTGATGTAGATCAAGATCCTATTTATTTTCTTAATTCAGTCAACAAATGTTACTTAATCCCATTCAATGTGTAAAGTGATCTATGGGGAATAGGCTCACACACTAGGGCAATCTCATTCCTGCTTTTAGGAGCCTGTAGGCTACAGCAGTAACAGGAGTGTTCAGTCTGTAGCTATGAGAAATTAATTCACAAATTATGGAATTGCAAATGACTATGAAAGACAAGTGGAACTTCTCTTGGGAGCAATATCATGGTGTCACAGCTTAAATATGTTTTGGGTTGGACAGCAAATTTGGTATGATGTGTAGTCAGTATTCAGTTTGGCCCTGTGCCTGCCAGCCTCCTTCTCTC